AATTTAAAAAATTCTCTATTTCTGTAAGTACATTATCCCTGAACACATCTCCTGCACACTCACATGGAAGATTACATTACTGTCCACGGCACCCCCATAGCAGATTTTGATCTGGTTTGGTGGCTCGACCCTTCATGTTCTGCTCATTCCACTCCAACCTGTGATATAATCTGGATGGAAAAGCTGAATAGATCTGTTCAGCCTGGTCAAGACTTGGGTGATACTCATCCAGAGAGCCATGGTACTGGGGCGGTATTTCGGGAAGGACAAGGGGGAGAGCAGATAGCAATATTTCTGATGAGGGCTTGTGGTGCAGAAAGCAGAAGCAGCTTAATTTTGATCTCTAACTCAATGTTGTGGCAACAAAGCTGTTGCAATCTGTGGGCTGCATAATGATGGAGTCACGAGTGGAAACAGCCCTGCATCATTATGACTGATACGCTGTTCCACTATCTACATTTTAAAATGTTGTTACAAATGGAAAACAAGAAATAAAATGCCTTAATATGAAAGTCTTCAGGAGCATAAACCTGTGATTGTACTGGAAAAAAAGACAGGGATGTGCCTTGTTTACAGGCTATTACCACACTTACATAGAATTCATAAGATTTCAAAGGGCTCTTTTATACATGGGAGTGCAGCAATAACCTGATAAAACCAAAGGAGAGAAAGCAACACCATCACTGTGCACAGAATGCAGCCACTAGACCAAAGGTTTATCAGCTTTTGATGTCTGAAACCTAAAATGAAGACCTTTCAGAAATGGATTCAGACAGGTTAAAAACAGTTCAGGCAGAGCTGGGAGAAATGTGATAGACTGGATGAAGGTGATAGGATGGTGAGCCTTTCTGATCTCAACTTCTGGCTTCTGAGGAGGGAGATGATGCTGAAGTGTGTTCAGATAAAAGCAACACAAAAGATGGGAAAAAAACCACGAGGTGATGCCAATTTACTAAACCAAATCACATAGTGGCATCTCGGTATTGTGAGCAAGTAGAGATGAATGAGCAGCACTTGCCTCTCAGTAACTGCAGGGTGTGACAGCAGAGGTGGGGGCATGTCCAGAGATCTCCTGTAAAGCTCTTGGAAACATGGGAAGTCCCACTGCTCACAGGGTTAAATTGAGGATATGCAGCAAGAAGCAGCCCTTAAGGTTATAAGCATGTTGGGAAAGGGCAAGGAGAGCTGTGGCCAAAACCTACCACTATAAGTGGAATAACTCCTGCTGATTTTAATGGGCTTTGAACCAGGCCTTAGACACCAAAATGGGTTGTTTCCATTTCAGCTTCTCGTCATAATATATACAAACCCTACTCCCACACAGGCGCACACATGCAGACATGTAAATACCAGATCCTCCCTTTGATCTTGCAGATACTTCAGCTACCAGAGACACAGACACTAACAGCTCTGCATGGCTGGAGCTGTCTTCCTCACCCTCAACACCCACCATGTCAACAACAGCCTTTATCTCCCCTTTTGTACAGCCAAGAGGGCTCAGATCACTGTCCTGGCTTCCCAGAGAGTAGAAAATTGACCATGTCCTGCCATTCCCTTTCTCTCCCCTGAAGTTTTGGTTCTTTCCCAAAATGCTAAGCCAGGCAGAAAGCCCGGTGGCAGACAGAAAATTCATAGCAGATCTGAAACAGGAAGATGGACATGCAGGAATTTTGCTCAACAGGCTGGTGATTTTGTAGGGTAGAGGGAAGGTGGGGACACAGCCCTGAGCTTGGTGGGTGGACTGGAAAGGATCAGAGCAGAAGACATCACGGAGAAGGGGCTACATCTCTGCAGTCATGCACCATGCAAGGCAGTTTTTATCAGATACTAAAACTCCTTGGCTCCTCCTTCCCAGCCTATCTGGCTGGGAATGGTTTTTCTCTTTTTTTCCTTGCATTTTGGGAAGCATTCCTGTCTCCAGCTGTTTCACACCTGGAGCTCAGAACACCAGGACCCAGTTTATCCAAAGATTGGTCTGGGGTTGTATTTGAAGAGGAATGCAAAATTGTTTCCATCTTTAAATATTTGTTTAATATAATTACTATGTTTCCCATAAGGAAGTCATTCCAGTACCTTGGGCTAGCAGGTTCAGTAGGCATTTTGAGGCTCACACTTCTTCAGAGGCAAAATGAAGACAAACAGGGAGTGAACAAGAAGGCTGCATACCAGAGACATAATTTTTTTCCACCTCTTTTGATAAAGGATAGGTGGGTCTTGAGCAATCTGACCAAATATGGGCTTCAGCAAAGGGTCTGCATCTGAACATGTATTAAATTCCCAAGATGACTGAGTCAACACTGCTCTTGGAGATAGGCTTCTAACTGAACTACACATTCGCATTTGCACTGTGAGATCCACCACTGGCAGAGGTACCTCCACACCAGACACAAAGCGTTGGGTGGGAAGAATCCCAGGTCCAGAGTGATGTATTTTCCTTGAAGAACATATTTTTCCTTAAAACTGTGTAGCACAGACAGCAAATGCTCCACAGGTCAGGAGTAGGATAACCTTGTGTCAAAGCCTACATGGTATCACCTCCTAACTCCTTGGACACCTCTACTGGATGAAAACCTGTTCCCACATTGTCACAATATTTTTCCTTCTCTGGGTTGCAAATGTGAAGAACAGCATTTAGTACTTACTTCTATTGCTGACACATGGAAGAAGCACCTCTCTCTCCCCAAAAACATTTGAACTATGGCAGACTGTCTTAGGATCAGAGAATTATTTAGATCCTAGAGGAAAAGACCTCTAGGATCACTGAGTTCTCTCATGTATATGAATGAATGAAAACAAAATTTACACCTGCACCTAACTTGGAATCACCTAATAAATCACTCCAAGCACACTTTTAAGGCTTACCAGTTACTAGGGCAAGAGCATTGATATACAGGTGGCTGGACATTTGGATGTCAGCCACTGCTGACATAGTAATTTGGTTTTCAGATGCCACAGAGAGGAGGAAGGGAAAGTTTGGGTTTTTTTTTCACAGTTCACTGTGTCCCATGGTCACACCTCATGTCCACACAGACACTTTTCATGTCCAGGGAATAAACTCTTGAGCATCTTGGGTTGTGCAGTGATGGATTCAGATTTTATGCTCAGAAGAATCTGGTAGGGAATATCAGATCATAGCACACTCTTTCCAAGCAGGATTCTGCTGCAAATGGTGTGGCCTGCTAGAGAAAAACCTGAAAACCACTGGCAGATTATTTCCAGAGGAAGAGCTGGTTGTGGATATTGGGCCCTGTGCAGGCTAAAGGGAGCTGTGAGGTTACAACTCACAAAATCTTTTGTGGGGTCCAGAGGAGGACCCATCTCATAGGGCTGGTTGAATTCAGAGAGGCTGATGCAATTTGGGAAGTAGCTTGTCACAGCCTGTGCAGAAAGTCTGATTGGAAAGCTGGACTCAGTGCAGGAGTTCTGGAGAGGTGGGAGCTGTAGCAGATAGTGTTGCAGGATGCTGAGCTATGGAATTAGTGAGAGGCTCAGGGTATGTCTAAGAAATCAGGTTTTTCATAAGTGATTAAGTTCCCACAAAATCTTTTCTGTTCCCACACATCCTTTCTGTGAAAGGATGGGTTTAAGCTATTTTAATTAGTTCCCTCCTCCTTTTCCTTTATTATGTTGCAGAGGCCATGACTGAGTACACTTACATACAGTGACAGTGGTCTGACACACAGCTTAGCTGAATGGAAGTTCTTGAGAAGTGTGATTCAGACTGGTTGGTCTAGGACTGTAGCTGTGGCTTTATTTATCTGTCTTGTGCTCTCAAACCTCTATGGTTCACTCAGGAAATTTGCAGACATGAGTGTGAGAAACTTTTTCTCCTAAAATGGGAGATGAAATTGTCATTGTTTTCATGATGGCAAAGAGGCACTGTAATAAATTAATTACAGTTTTATGAGATTCTTCCTATTACAGGAAGTGATGATCATGATGCCAATTACATGCTAGAGTTGCTGTAAGCTGCCAAAACTGCTAACAAGTACCATGAGCCATGAATGGCTCCAGACTGAACGCACATGGTGTTTGGGAGACCAAGGACCTGTGGGAAATAAGGAACCTGTAGAATTACAAATCACAGATTCATAAAGGCTGGAAAAGCTCTTCAAGACCATCAAGTCCACCTTTGAACTGAACACCACCACAACCACTAAACCATATAATGGAGTGCCATGTCTGCTTTTACTGTCTCTGGCAAGTAGACCTGGTCACTGATCAACACCATGAAAGTGTTATCAAGTAATTAACCACCATCATTCCTCATTTCCAGCTTCTCTTCCTTCCAGTTTTGGGTAGAAACTCCTGCCTATGGGTTCTGTTCCGTTTGCCTGGTGGTAAAGGTTGAGGGGTAAGCTGTCAGAGGCAGCTGTGGAAATTCCTTGTTTGCATCTTTATGGTTGATTTTAGCCCCTGAAGAAAATCTAGACAGTCTGGACCAAAACCAAGCTGTGCATCTGGCATATGTCTTTCTCAATCCTTTTTCATGAAGAAATTTTGGTGTTTCATGGCTAGTTAAACAACAAGAATGGTGACTCAGACTGTGCAGAGGGAGACCTTCAAGCTCTTTAGGACAGTCCTGAGCAGGAGAAGTGGAAGGACTGGTGGGGGATCAGAAGTTACTGGTCTCTGTGACACACATTCCTGGTACACATCCATGCTCTCTCATACCTCCATCTGCGTTGGTTGTGGCAGTTCCTCTCTCTGCAACCCATCTGCAGCACATGAGGAACTGCTCACTCACCCTTTTTGGGTATTTAGAGGAAAACAGTGTCTGCTTGGTGATCTGTGGGACATGCTGAAGCCTTGCAGCTATTTCTGGCACAGGCTCTTCCTTCCCCTGCATTTAGATATTCTGCCCAAGTCCTGGCTAGGGAGCAAACTCTCCCTGGCTGAGCTGTACTGCCATAAAGCCTCTAAACCCACACCTGCTCAGCTTTTCAGCTCTCTCATGCCCCAACACAACCCACAGAAAAGTGTCAGACAAAGGAAGGCTGGTTTTAAATCCAGTCATGTATGCTGGCTTATGTTTTCTGATTAAAATGAGAGCTGGGTGGCAGCTCATCATGGGGAAATAATGGGTAGGAAACCTCTGAGAGAGGCAACAAAGAGAAAAAACAGATTTTCTTCCTTAAATGATGTTTTTCTTCTGTTATTGCTGGCAGCACTGTGGGAAGGTTCATGTCTCAGTTTCCCAACCTGTAAGAAGGAGTACACCTTTCCCAAGAAGGATTCTTTAGGAAGACATAAGCTGGCACCAGAGTTGCCTATTTCCTCTGCATTGTTGGCTTTTGGGTTTCAATACTGGCTGGATTTCTTCATCAAAACCTGAGAAAATTCAAAAATATAAATTTAGTTTGATGCTGTAAAGCAGGCAGGTAATCTCTTAGCTGTTATGTAGGGAGGCTACAGTGACAGAAATGAAAATGAGTGAAATAACTAGAAAAAATTCACAAGCAGGGGCAAATACTTGTTAAAATCAGAAAAAAAAAAATCAAAATTTGAAATGAAAAAATCAGCCTGTCAGAGAGAATATTTTCTGTTGTGAACTTGGCAGTTTGCAGGTCTTGATGCCACGTGCTAATAGTGCTAAACGTCCCTTCCCTATTCTTATTCTGCTTATCCTGATTGTGCCCTGGATCAGCACAGCAAAAGACATGGTAAAAACTGGCAACTGCAGCAAATGCAGAGGGTGGAGCTGCCTAACAGAATTTTGGCTATCTCCTTTCAGCATTTCTGAATTGCTTTTCAAAGAGAAAGGTCCAATATTTCTGGAAAAACCAGAGCACCCCAGAAAAACAGAGATGGAGAAATCTCAGAAATCACCAGATACTACACTCTTTTGCAGTGCTGCAAGTTGCAATTGTTTTTCTCTACAGCTTCTCCAGAAAATTGTCAGCCAGGGAAACCAGATTTCCTGGGTGACAGGGTGGCCTTTTGATGGGGTTGCACAACACCTCTGGTGGGGATGTAATCTCTTGGCAGGTTTGATTACTGTGTTTCTTTTCTCTTTCTCCTTTTCCCTCTCTGGCCTTTCTCACAATCACTTACACTTGCTAAAATAAGCTTGAAAGTGACTTTAATGAGATCTGAAAATCTTTCAGAGGTTGCAGCAAGCATAACTTCACACTTCCACTGTATCCCTAATTGAATACTGCAGGTTATCTGGTACTAAATCGGTGTGTAAAGTTCATAGTATTTTCATTTGTCAGTATTTTAAAACCTAAATACCTAGAGAAACAAGGTGTTGCATTTACTTTTTCCCTCTATTTGTTTCCTCTTTTCCCATTATGTCCCCAAAAGTATGATTTCTACCATACTTTTCATCTTGTAAGAGATGTGCAAGATTTTAATTTGCTCACAGTTCTGTGAAAACTGGCAGCTGGATAGAGCAGAAAGATCTGTGTAGTTTCTGCTCCCTGCTCCTTCCACACAAGCCAGAGGCAGAGCTCTGCACAATATACACACTGTTGACCAAGGAGCTCTTACGTCCTGGGTAATAAAACAATTCAGATACTGCTCCAACCAGCCATAGCACAGGACCCAAATCTCCAGCCAAACTAGTAGCAGATTCTGGAAGGAGCTGCAGTATCAAGGGGGAGGAGATTGGAAAGGGAACTGTAGGAAAGGTCACCGTAGGAAAGATCACCTTATTAACTCCGTTGGTCACAGAATAACTTATTTTTAACAGTGGCTTTTCCTCACAGGAATAATTTTCTCTTCATCATTTCCAAATACAATTCTTATTTCTTTAGCAGCTACATAAGCACTGGATTCTTGGATGCTGCATTTGCTGCAGGCAGTGCTGTGCCAAAAGTGGTCATAGGCCACAGGGAAAAGCCATGGAAGGGGAGAAGCTGCTGCTTGGCAGGACTGTAATAGATTTACAAGAAGAGTGGAGGCAGGGGAGGAAGCTGGCTTCCACAGAGGGGCTGTAAATGCCTCCTCCACTACTGGAGCTGATCTTGCAATTCCTTTTGTTGTTGTCTCTGACTTCCATTGGAATCACTGCTTACCCACATGCAATGCAAACTAAGAGATTAATAAGAGTACAGCAGACACCTTTTGAAAGGCCAACTTTTTGACTCTTCTTGGCACTGGATGCACAGCTACTTTGAATATCTGGCTGCTTCTTTTGTGCCAGAATGACAGATGAGTTTGAGAAATCTGCTCCAGCTCTGGATACTGGGCAGTTGCAAAATTGCTTTCCTTTATTTGCTTCATCTGTGTATGTGTAGATGCTGCTGCACACCCGTGTGAGGTTCCACTTATTTCCCCCTGAGTTGCAGCATGCCAGCAGAAGGCATATTGTTCTATTCCCTGCAGAGCAAGTGAATTTTCCTTGCAATCCTCAGACCTCTTGGTCACTGTGGATCAGACTGGTGGGAGCCATGAGCAGGATGTAAAAGCAACAGGATAGTACATCCAGTGGGAAGGGGACATAGATTCTCTCTGTTGTTGCCAGTAAAGCCAGTGAGTGAGTCATCTCTTCCAACAAACAGTTGTCTTGTGTTGCTGGCTGCTTTGCACGGCCCTCAGCTTAATCAAATAATACAGGTTTGGATGCAGCAGCTGACCAAAAGAGTCTCTTCATCTGAGACTTCGTGGTAGGATATGTGGTAAGGGTGAGGAGATATTGCCAGAAAACCTGAAAAGTATTTTCTCATGTTGCAATATACTATTGCGACTGGGAAAGACCTTGGAAACTGCAAAAGCCTGATTCATCTGTTGGGGCCAGGGTAGTTTTTGGCCACATCTCACAGTTTTATTACAAGTTTGTTTTTTTTAAAGTTTAGGTTTTAAATTTCATGTGTGGAAATAGGTAGAAACCTCTGAGTCTTCACATCTTTCTTGACTAATATGATTGCTCCACAGAAAATTAGTCTGCAACCAGCAGTATGCCTCCATTTCTTTGCAGTCTGACTGTGGCAAGCCTGTAACAAAGATACCTTTCCAACATTTCCTTCCCCATATTCCCATTTCCCTCCACCCATTTTAAGAAGGAGAGGCTGGTATTGTTTTCTCTTTGTCTTGGGAAATCAGGACAAACTTTAGAAACTAATACATATGGTAGAAATTACTGTAAGGCATGGGAAGAAACCCCCTCAAAAATCTTGAACATTAAACTGCAACCCAGGTGACACTCTTCATTCTAGAATAATGTCTTATGAGAAAGACATTGTTGGCTGTTGTGAGCTCATCTCAGTGAAGAACACTGTACTCTCCAAATAGCGAGGAGCGAGCTTATGAAAAGTGAAGGCTGACATTATTATATTTTTAAAGCCTCAGCAGTTGAAAAGCTTCATATTCCCACACTACAAATTTCTACCTACGAAGAACTATCTCTATAGCTTTCCTATCTCAACATTAAATGCTCTCAGAATGAACACTTTTCTTGGGTAAAAATTTATTTCAGCTGAAGTTTGGCATAGGAAAATTTAAGCTAAGGAATTTTGCTGGGTCAGCTTGACAATGAAATCCATATCCATTCAAGTCTCCACAGCTTCTAACAAGCATCATTTCAGGCTTTTCTTGTCTCTATTACTACTTATAAGCTGGGCTTCTTGCACAGGTGATAATGTCACTGTGGTCTTTTCCTCTGACTGTATGGTGCAGTAGTTTTGGGAGATGATTTCAGTGACTGTTTTGGGCTTTTCAGCTGCTTTCAGTGATGCTCAGTCTGCCCCTTTCATAGACATGGAGGTTATGAAGTTGGAGCAGAGATTGGTCAGAAAATATCTGAGGATAACCTAATGAGGATGGGAGTGAGAAGCATCCTTCTCTCTTCCTTTCCAAGCTGTGGCTCTTGTTGGAAACGTGTTTCTAGCCTCAGATGGAGTACTTTGGTCAGAATTACACTCTCACAGGTGACTCTAAACTTGAAACAATTGTAGGTGGGTCAAAGACAGTGAGCCTATGTATAAGTGGTCCCACCCTCATTTGTAATTTCAGCTCACAGCTCTGAGAGATGCAAGAGTTTGTGGGAAAGATCAGTTTGGATAAATGAAGGGCTGAACTGACAATCCAAGAAGACATGGGGGTCAGTTACCATGTAGGCACAAGTTTGGAGTAGGTAATACTTGATACTTGTTTAAAAAAATTGTTCGAAAATTCCCAGCAGGAGCACCTTGAATAGCTGCAGCTCCTGTTGTGAGAGTAACAGTTGTCCTGTGCATCCTCAAACAGTTTAACAGACTGGATGGGTTTCAAGGGAAAAGGCTTGTGCAGGGCCCACTCCTTTCTTTGAAGCCACTGTCTGGAGAGGTTTTCTCAGCTCTGCTCTGCTAGTGCCTGGCAATGAGCTTGGGTTTCTGACAGCTTCTGTCATACTATGCTTAAAGTGTTGTTATGTGCCAAGATGAATACACCATATTCATACAGAGCCAAAAGTTTTATTGAAATATATGCTTAAGAGATAATAAATTTATTATTAGTCCAGTTGCAATGATACTAAAATTTATAATCCAGATTAATACAAAAAATCCTTATTAGTTGTAATGCTCTTAAAACTGCTACAAGGAAAAGTTCCAATATCTAATCCTGCTCTCCAGTGCTATCCTCACCTTCTGATGTCCCTGAGTCTTGTGGCTGGTGGCACCAGCCTTCTCAAGCAGAGAGGTGGTGGTGGCTTGTCTCTGTGAGTCATCAGTGTCCTGAATTGTCACCAGGACAAGCACAAAATTCATGATGGTGCTCTTTGCTCCTCAGGCATGAAGTCTGTTTGGGGCTATTTTAATAGTTTTTTCTGATGTCACTCTTTCTCCTTCCTAGTAGTTTCCAGGTAAAGTTTAAAAGTTGCACAACTTTCCCCAGCCTCAATTAACCTAAAGGACTATTTCTTGTTATGCAGTGACTACCTATGCTTGCCGTTTTACCCTATATGGTAACACAGAGATAAAGTTAGAACAGGTTATACAGAAGTTATTTGATAACTGGCAATTGTTAATGTAAACTAACACCAGCCTAGGTCAAGATAAGCCTGGATGCCCAAACTTGTGTCTTTCACCAGCAATTTCAAGAATTATATTTACTGGGCTATATCAGTGCTCTGGCAAAGGCAGACCTCCAAATATTTTTGCATCCTATAGCAGCAGGAGGAAATCCTCTCCAAACACAAGAACCCAGCTAAGAAGAGGTGACAGGACCCTGCTTAGTAACACACCCTTATTGATGTGCTCAGGTGAAAGTCTCACCATTGCAGGTGGGATGAGAACTGGTGGGATTTTTTTTTTTTTTTGTCCCAGGTTGTAAGGAGCTTTTGTCGATTGCTGGCTCTCTTAATCCTTTTCGCCATTGTATGTTTGTTCTGTTGAGGTTGTATTGTATCT